GGCAGCTGTGGAAGAAGGGGGGAAAACAAAAAAAGCCTTGTGTCCAAAACATTTGTGTCTGTGTTGATCCTCCCCTGGACAGCTGGTCTGACTCAGCTCTGAGAAGATGCTGTGCAGCTGTTTCTCTGGAGCAGCTCCTGTGGGCACACAGCAGCAGAGCCCAACATCTATGTACAACTTCTTAATCTCCAGAGCTCATTTTAGCCCTACTCTGTCATCTTTAATCATCAAGCATTAGGGTTTTTTTCCTTGCTGGATCTTCATGTGCATATGTTGAGAGCTTACAAGGCCAATCGACGATTGTTTCAGTTTTCAGATTGATTTTTGGGCTTTTTCTTTGCAAATCAGAGCCCAGGGACTTGCCACAAGCCCAAATCCCATTTTTTCAGAATGGATTACATCTTTGCTGGGACACTGTTTACTCTCCTGCAATTGTTTGAGGCAGGGTTTGGCTGGTGCAGACCGACTTCAACTCTTCTGTGAAGCTCAGGCAGGATTTAGCCTCTGTAGGGCACAGCTCTGGCAAGTCAAGGCAGATGAGATGCCTCCTTCTGGGGCAACTCTGCTGCTGCCTCAAGTCCCAAGTGGCAGTAAGAGCTTGAAGAAGCTCAAAGAAAGAGGCTCTAGACACTAAACCATCTCTGATGAGCTCCTTCAGCTGGAAAGGCAGGGAATAAAGCAGGGCAAAACAAAATCACCATGCATCCAACCCTGAGCAGGGACCACTAAGGCAGCTGGGCACTGAGATAGCAGGGAAATGGAAATAATTAGGCACTGGAACAGAATACTGGAGATATTACTGGAATTACTAAAGGATTTGGGTTTTTTTTTTTTAGGAAAAATGAGTGATTCTCCAGTGCCCTGGGATTTGTTGTTCCAAAGTGAAGCAACAATCCCCAGAGTAGATAGGGCTAACCTTAAAGTAGAGTGAGATGATGGTAGAAAATAAACTATTTCTTATCCTAGAAGGTTCCAAAATGTGTAAGGTAATAAATTTTGAAATGGTTTGAGCTCCTTTCACCTACCAAAAGAACCTTGTGATGGCCTTTTGAGCTAGATTCTGCCACAGCCTTTGTACTTGTGAGGGTTGAGAACCAAGAAAGGTCACAAGAAGATAACAGTTATCAGTCTGATACAGACAAAGCAGCTCACAATGTTTGCAGTACACCACAACTGTGCATCAGATAAAGGAGCCTAGAGCCAAAGGAAGGTGTAAAAGGAAGCAGATTGTGGAATATCTACACACTAAATGCTCTTTTTAAGCAGATGACTGGACCATAGTTGCTGTTTGTAGTTGTCAGTGTTGTCCATGAAGCTTTAGGAGCATTAAATGTCCCCAGTGACCACACAATGTCCTTTTTTTTTTTGAACAGATAATTTATTTGCAGCAGTAGTGTGAGATACAGTAGAATACAAGTGGGAAGCAGATAATGATGTATTATTTTATAGTGTATTTTTCAGTAGATTATTCCAATATGGGAATTTTAAGCCCTCTAACATTAGTTCTGGTATCGTGGTGACAAGAATAACCAGTCTGGTGGAAAAATCTGTGCACATAGATTGCTTTACCTCATTTCTCCTAAATTACAGACTGCAACAGTACAATTGGGATCATATGAGTCAGTAACTAATAGTTCAGTTTATGTTTGTGTCTTGTCTATTTAGCAAGTCCTTGAGAAACTCAGATACACACAGGTTGAGGTGAGATATAAAAAAATGTGCATTTTTTTTTTAATCCTTTGCCTTGGAAAGAAAGATTCACAGTGTAAATTCTCTCATATTTTATTTTGATTAAAAACAGTGGATGGTGTTTAGTATCTGTTACACAGATAGCAGATAAAATGTGGCATAGCACAGAGGCACTAAAAAGGTGGAAATTTGGAGGCCATACAGCTTTCTAAGCAGATTCTGTGGCAATTATTAATAATCAGAAATAAAATGAAAAGCTCCTATGCAAATAAATACCCATGACAAGCCTGAATACTGCATGAGATGAGCGTGGCTCCTGCTTCCACTGCATGACTGAAAGGTGCAGCTCCCAAATACTTCAACAGCAGAAGGGTTATAATGACAACTCAAATGCTGCAGGGTTTCTTTTTTCCTTTTTTTTTTTCTTTTGTTCTCTTGGTAATATTTAGAATTTGGCTGATAAACTCAAAAAAAACCCCCCTCAAAATACCCAAAAGGTATTTGTGTGCCTCAGTGTAAACACCTTTGGCTTCCATCCTTTCTTTGCTGAAATGTAGTAATTAAATAACTTGATATATTTGGTGATGGCTGAGCTTGATGATCTTAAGAGATCTTTTCCAACCTTAATGATTCTGATTTCTTAAAGTGCAAATACAACATTAGAAACAATTGTGCCCCCATGGAGGAGTGAGAGACTCATCCAGGAGATTTTTAGGACCCAGAACAACAGCATGTCTGGCAGACTTCCTATAATTTCCATCCACCCTTGTGAACAAAAAAGACATTTACTGTGTCCCACCCCAATCAATAAATACTTCAAAAGGACACCAAGTCATGTTATGGGGTGAAATTTAGGGCTGAAGCCCTTTGGAGCATAAATCTCACTCACACATCACTAAAGTACACATTTTTAAATCAATTGAAGGCAAAAGTATTTCCAGTCCCTATAAAAGTCAAGCTAGTGGGTTATTTAACCAGATGTGACTATTGTACAGTGATGATACCCCTGCAAAGCAACTCACCCCTGCAGGTCAAAGCTAAATTGAGTCCTCAGGGATGCTGCAGAGTGATGTTCCCTTACATCTCTTGTGGTGGGGCAGAACCATCTGTGATGACAGCCACTCCTAAGGATTTACTTTAGGGTGGGCCACAAACCTCAGATTGAATGCACGTCCTTCCAGAATTAAGTATCTTGCTGAAAGACTCTGGTTTTGGAAAAATGAGAGAAGCAAAAGCTCAGGATCACTTCTACTGCAGTCATAGAATCATAGAATCCTTTAGGTTTGGAAGAGACCTCCAAGATCACCAAGTCCAACCATCAAACCCAACACTACTAAGTCCTCTGCAAAACCAGAATTCTTTAATTCAGATTATCTCAAGGGGAGAAAAAATCCTCCGAGCTGAGCTGGTTGGTGCTTTGCTGGTGTTGTGCCCACCTCAGCAGCAGAATCAGGCTCCTTGAGGAAAATATGCATCAAGCCATTTGTGTCAAGGACCCTTAAGCAGAAACCAAATCACAGCTTCTTATTTAAATAACACCGTGCCATGCAGAATTCACAAATTAGAGCTTCTAAGGAGTGGCTTTAAATTAAAAATAAAATAAAATGCAAACCTTTGCTTAAAAATCCACCAGTGCTATGTGTATTATTTTTTAACTTGATCTAAGTCATGCAAAAGGTTTAATCAAAACGTCCCTTTACAAATAATGGCATTTGAAGGAAAAAAAAACCCAAAACCAACAGAGAAAACAACACCACAAGTTTTGATGTTTTCATTGCTCCTATTTAGCCATCTGAGCAGAGGTGTGGAGGGGTCTAAACACCACATCTGTGTTGCCCTTCTCCAGGAGACCTAGTCCTTGCTGTGGCAAAGAGCTCTTATCTGCAATTTGACATTGTAGGTCAAATTTGACATGGTAAGTCAACCTTGTAGGTCCCTAATTTGACATTGTCCCCTGTAGGTCCTTGACCACGCTGATGCCCCTTGAACAGTGACGTTGTCACGACGTCAGGGCACAGCAAAGGGCAAATATCAGCTGGATTAGGAGATTTGACAGGCAGCCACTGCTGTGATGCTGCAACAGGTATGTGATGGGGTGGAAGGGCTCACGTGTCACCCATGGAAGCCCTCTCCTGAGTAAGGTGCAGGGCAGAGCTCATGGTCCAGCTGCAGATGCATGGAGGAGTCATGAATCTCTTGCTCCATGCAGGGAGCTTGCTCCACGTTAACAAGGTTTAAGACCAGAAAAGTGAAACCAGGAAGATTAATTAGGGTAGGACATGCTGGGACTACACAGTGCTGTGAGTTGGGGGTAGCAGAATTGCCTTTGGATCATAGTGCACAGATTTGAGTGTAGCTGTGGTTTATTATCTCATTAGAAGCATCCAATTCCCTGTAATAAAGATTGGAGATGTAGAGCATGTCAAAGAGCAGACAAGGCTATTCCAGCCCACAGCCAGGATTAATGCTTTTTATTTCTCCTCTCTTATAGCTAAATAGGCAAGAGTCACTCTTCAGCTTCAAAATAAAGCTGCTACAGTGAGAGTAAGAGCAGCACATTTCTGACTGCTCTGCAGCTGCACCCTGTAAAACTCAAAGCCTCTGATCAGACACAAAAGCACAAAGTCAGTAACAGCTTCACAGAAATGTTCTGCTGGGGTGGTTATCTCTGTCAAAATACTTCTCTAAGGGAAAGACTGAGTACTGAACGTATTTCATGGCCCTTTCCCCCTGAAAAAATGGGCAAGTGCTTGCTTCTTTTCCTAAGAACAGCTAAAAAAACCTTTGCCAGAGGTGTAGGTGAGACCATATGAACACTGGAACGTGCCTGGATCCCGTTACAGATAGTTAGGCATCAATTACAACAAAAAGCCAGAAGTAGTCACCTTTTTATCATCTGTTATAAAAAAATATTTCCCAACGAGTGTTTCAATACAGTTAAAAGTTAAAAACCCTCTACGTTACTAATAAATTAAAAAAAAAATCCACATCTCCACCCATCTGGTGAGAAAGTAGGTAAGTAATTGAAACCTTTAGTTGACATAAATTAGCACAGGAGTGTGTGTTTGAACAAGTGCACTGAAAACAGATACGCCTTCTTGCCTTCTTATATCTCTTCTTTGAGTTATTAAATAACAGGAGAGCCTTTCTATGCCTTGTGTGACCTTGAGAGTCTGCTAACACTAACTGGCCAATAGTCAACCCCCAGGAGAATGTTTCACCAGAGAGACAATGAGAAGAGGGAGTATGAAGAACACACGAGTGAAATTGGATGAGCTGATACAACTTCAATAGTTTTTTTTTAAAAAAAATATTAAAGTAGAACTTTTTTTCCAGAGGTTTCAAGGCAATAGCAACGTACCTGAGTGGAAACTTTGCTTGAGTGTGGCTAAAACTCTTAAATACTGTTGGTGCTGTCCCTGGACCTCATAGAGAACACTGAATGGATAAGATGTTCTAATCAGAGCTGACAACAGCCAATTAAGTGTCAGAAGAACAATCTGATAAGGAGGTCTTCATGTCTATAGGCAATTCCTGATAGGTCTTAACTGTCAATCTGAATGTTAAACATCTCTATCTTTATCTCATCATTGACTGATTTATTAAAGGAGAATGCTTTCATCTCTTTTCTTTCATTTTGGTGTTGCCCCAGAAAGAAGGAAAGGAAAACTCTAGGAACAACTCTTCGTTTGGAAGAATAGATGGGGAAATCCTAATTATGGCCAAGTCCTAATCTTCCCACTGAGCAGGCGTATGGTTTGGGGACACCACCACCATACCCTTTGAGAAGTGGTAGACACTCAGCCTAGAGGAGATCTGTCTCTTTGATAGGTGGAAGGACATCTGTGGACGTGCTAGGAGGCTGCTCTCTGCTTTCAGTGCTTCTTGCTAGTCATACAGAAGACAACACCTCACTGGATGGATCTCTCCCCTTCTTCTCCTCACCCCTGTCGACGTCGATGACGTGAACTATGCCAGGCTTGAGGATCAGGTCATCGGTCTCCACGTGGCTCCTGGTATCATCCACCTCGATGTACTTCCCTTTGGAAGGCTGGGTGGCCTTGCTGAAGACATCTTTAAAACGCCTCTTGAGTTCAACATCTGGGCAATAGACGTACTCATAAAGAGCCCCAGCAAGGACTGCTCCTATTATTGGTCCCACCCAATAGACCTGCAAGAAGAGGTGGAAGAGAGACGGGCATTAAGCTCTAGAGCAAATAAAGAAGCTAGAATCTCTGAGAAAAAGCATCATACAGACATCACTCAGAAAAGTTTCTGCAAAATGCCTTGACCCAACTGTCAAAACCAGCTCTCCAGAAACTCCTGGCCACGTAGTTCCCTGGATTTCATGAGCTGGGATGAAATCTGCCATCCTAACTGATGAGGCAGAGGAGTGTAACTACTACAGGTTTCACAAATGGGGACCTGGAGCTCAGCAATTAAGTGCCTGCTCTAAAATCACATAGGAAGTTAATCAAAAGGCAGTCAATAGCATTATTTCTAGGTGTTTTCTTTTCTTTCTGCCTCCTTCCAGTCCCTCTCTAGCACGTTTCAGAAACAGTCCCTAGTCACACATCACACACCACAGGCACCCTCTCTGGCTGCCCTGACTTCTCCTGTGAAGAGAAAACACCTTTCCCCCTCTCTTTATGGCAGATTTAACTTCTTTTTAAAAAACTTTGCCCAATAAGACAAAAGCCCACGTTCTTCATCATCCTTATTTGGCTCAACCATAGCTATAACATTTCTTGAGACAAAAAGAGGCCACAGATCCTGCTGGAGACACGACTTGTCAAACACAGCTCTGTAGTCACACACAACACATAGTTGCTCTGGCATAGCTTTGCTTTAAAACCAGCAGGGGTAAGATGATTGTGAAGCTAGCCCACATCTTCAAAGAGGAAATTTTGGCAAGTTTTATGGATTAATCTTTTACCAAAAGGCCTCCTCTAAATTTTCATTGCTCGTTGCCAGCTGTACGACAACATCTATGGATGACACTCAAAAAAAACACTGATGCAGAAGATTTTCTTCCTGTATTTTCACCCCAGGTGACGAGAGAACAAAACTTTTCCTGGTGTACAGTTGTACTTCAGTATTTCAGACTCACGTTTCCAAAATAATCCAAATTTGGCTTCTAACCCAGCAGTCAGCTGTCTGATTGTCTAATTTAAATAAGCCAATACAAGTTTGCAGGGTACCTATCCATTTCAGCATGACAGGCAGCACTTCTGTAACACTAGTAGGTGTAGAAACCACGGGCACGCCAATGTCACTGCTCTGGAGAAAGAAGCAAAGGCCATCCTACCCAGTGACCAGGACAGGAGCTAAGCTTCTCCTCTAAGTTTCTCCACGGTGCATTTGTTTATTGTTTATAGCTTTAGTTATAAATTACAGGCTCTTTAGAGTATGGCTAATTAATCTCACCAAAAACGACAGCAGTTTTTCGTAGGAACAAGCCATTCCCTGATAAGTGGGTAAATCTGCCTCAATAGGATAACTCTTGGGAACCAAGTTACACATGGTATCATGTTTGCAGAATTGGAGCCTCAGGGCCTGAAGACAATGCTATTTCTGTCATGAGCTGCAGTGGGAGCAACGTGGGCTTCCTACTTTAAAAATCAAGCAAATCCTTCTCTGCAGAGTAATGTGCAGCTCTCCCAGTTACCTGAAAGTGTTCCTAGAAGTGCTTTCCCTCTCTATAATTAGGTGAGGCTGAGCTGCCATCCCTCTCTCCTTTATAAAATGTGAATTGCTTTTTAATAAGTTGAAGAGTGGGATGCTGCAGAAAAGGGCTGCCTCGGTCACAATCTGTTTCCCAAATTGTTTCCTGTGCAAACACTCCCTGTTAAGCTGAGGCTTTCAAAGTGAAGCAGCTAACATCTGGTCTGGCGTGCCAAGGCCAGACTGCAGCCCCTTCATCTATCACCAGAGGTGTTTGCTGAGGCAGGTTCTCCCCCAGGGAACCAGATCACAGAAGGTCTCTGCTCTCATTTCATTCTTCTGCCCCAGTTTGCTGCAGAACCAGGTGGGTTGTGGAGCTGACAGAATGACTTCCATAGCTTCTCACCAGCATGACCCAGGGGGCTGAGATCTCCCTCAGAGGGTTTTTTTTCTTTCTAGCAGTTCAATTCTTTCAGTCTCCCTGGGCTGCTCTTTTTGTTTCAATTTTTTTCTATGATTTCCTTCCTATACCCCAGCCTCTACCTCCACAAAATAGCCCATGAACAGCAAGATGTCACTGCAACGTGCTGCATGCTGGAACACAATTATACCCAAGCTTGTGGCAGGTCAGTGCCTGTCTTCCTCAGTGATGGGCTCTACAGGATGTACTGGGGTAGATGTGAAATCTATCCATAAAAAAATCCTGAGCACTGCTTGTCTCTATGGTGAAGGAAGCACAAAAGCAGAGTTACCCATTGGTTTTCCCATCTCCCCATGATAACAGCAGGTCCAAAGGATCGAGCAGGGTTCATACTGGCACCGGTGTAGTTGATCTAAAGCAGAGGCAAAAGGTTACCTGTTATTAAAGTCTTGAAGAGAGTTATTCAGCTCCTGTTAGTCCTCGTACTATGGGAACACCTTGGTTTTGGATGGCTTCTAATCTTGGCAGCAACTCTCCTCAATTTCCTGGGTCTTATCACAAAACTAACAAAATTATCACAGGAACAGGCAAAAAAAGACCCTACCCAACAGGACCCTCCTGCTGCTCCAAAGGGTTTTGGCATGGATCCATACCCAATACAGCAGCTATAGAGGCCACAGAAGTTTCCATCTGCTTCTGAAGTAGCCACAAAGGGACAAGGGGGGTCTGTTTTTGAAAGGGAAGCCATCAACTTACAGCAAATAAATGTCCAATTGCCACAGAAAATCCAATGGCCAAAGCTACTGAGCCAGTGACATCGCTTCGTTTCGAATCACAGCTGGCAAAAATAGTAAAAACCAACTGGAAGGTAATTATCAACTCCACCAGGAGCCCGTGGCCAGCAGAAAGATCCCCGTGTACCTGGAAGAAGGGAGAGAAACACCTCAGAGGAAATCAAGGGGATTTTGTAAATTAAAAAGTCACCACCTCCACGAATTGAAGAAAATTGAGAGGTCTAACTGTGTGCCCCCCCCCTTTTTTCTCCTTTCTTTTAAAAGTTTGATGGATTGATTATTTTCAGAGCCATGGAAAATCACTGCTGGACTGAGAACAGAAGCCTTAACAGCAACATCCAACAAGAACTTCAAAGTTAGGCTGCAGAAGCACAGTTTATTTTTACACAGGGATTTGCAAATGCTGCACTTCCCCTTCACCAGTTTTTTTTTTTTTCTTGGGAGCCCTGTAATTTACTATTCAATTATAAATTCATTAATTAGCTCTGACTTAATTAATTTAAATTTCAATTAAAAATTAAGCAGTGTGCAACTGGAGTGCATTTTTAATAAGTCCTGCAACAGGGCTAACTGATGGCATTCCTTATTAGTTTAGAACAAAGCTGAAATCTAAGCCACCATCTAGTTCAAAAGGATGTCATTTGAAATGGATGTTTTTTTTCCATCCCCATCATCACGCCAGAGAATGAATTTCCCCCCTCCCCAGCCCATCTAGAAATGGCATTTCATGCAGAGATTACTGAAACCTGTCACCAGGTTTGGGGAAGTTCTAGGGAAGAGGTCTATGAAAGGAAGAGCTATAGATATTACACTGATAAACCCATCCCAAGGAGAACTTTGAGCCCTGTCTAGATGTCGTAAACAAATCAGCAAGCTCTTAAACTCTCTTCTTGAGCTCTCTTTATTCTTCATGACCATGATTATGTTTTCTGGAGCTCTCAACTAGTCTAATTCAAGAGCTGGAGGAGAATTGATTACCGCAGTGACTCCCAGGCCTCCCACCACGCTTGGGGGTGTGACAAGGTAAAGGATGCCTGCACCCACGATGGCTCCCAGGCACTGAGCAAGAATGTAGAAGACAGACTTGGCGAGGCTGATCTTCCTCGTGCAGACCATGGCCACAGTCACAGCAGGGTTAATGTGGCCTCCACTGATGTGTCCGAAGCACTGCACCATGGTTGCGATGCTGAGTCCAAAGCAGAGGGAGATAAGGACCATGTCTACAGGCAAGGGCTTCTCTGCTCCACCCCAGTTGATGGTGGAGCCGAGGCTGAGGAGGACAAAAATGAGCATGGCCAAAAATTCTGCCGAGACAGCTTTCCAGAAGGGCTGAGTCCAGACTCCTTTGAAGGCCACCATGATGCTCTCACACTTACACAGACGTCCACACTTCCTGAAAAGGAAACAAAGCTTGGTCAGAAGTCACCCCTGGAGCCTTACGCCCTCCTGTTAGGGGGTTGTTATCCAGCAGACTTTGGAGACAAGGTGGCCATGCTGAGTATCCACTGGGACAACCCACAGGCTGCACTCTCAAACTGCCCCTTAAACATAACCAGTGTTCAAGTGTCTGCAGGACCCTTATGATCATCACCCCTCATGATAAATCTGTCTGTATAGCTTCAGCTATATACTCCCACTTCCAGTGGCCTGTTGACCATCATGCTCTTTATATCAGTGAGTATCCTCTTTTTCTAAGCAAATCTGTGCTTTTCACAAAGCAGGTCCAATAATTCAATAAACCCCAGTCAAACCCTAATGGTTTTTGATAATGCAGCATTAGGAGGTTACCCTAGGAGCTCTCAGAGAAAGTCTATTTGTTTGAACACTCACACAAACCAACATTTCAATTCATATTTATGCAAAGAGCAGCTTCTCTGCTGTGGATGTAGGGTCCAAATTGAATTCAGATGAGAGAACAGAGGCAATCCTAAATTCTGACCTTTAGATCAGAAGATATAGAACGTTTTGTAGCAAAGAAAGAGCTGCCTTGATTTTTCTCTAGCCTGGAACTGCTACTTATTAGTCTACACACTGCCTTCCTGATGAGTTACACTTTTGCTAGATGTTCAGCTACCTATGAAAGTGGGTCACCAAAGAAAAGTTATTTGTAGTATTAATAAATTAGGAGAATAAGCCAAAAGGGAAGCATTTTAATGAGTTTCTAAGGAATGCTAACAAGATTCTCCTCTAAAAACAAAAGGAAAAAAACCTCCTACCCCTCCAAAGCAGCAAACAAAAGAGAGCATTCAGCTGCTACATTTGGGAACAGAGTTTCAAGTGGAAGATGGATGAATTTATGCTCAGTTATCTAAGGTAACTGAGCTACAATGCATATTTAATACCACTTACATCAGAAAGAAGCATAAAAGTCATCTCTGCCCTTTTCAAGTTATTGCAAGAGAAATGGCCCATGAATTTCTTAACAGTTGCAGCCAGTTAGGGAAAGGCAATTTAATCCTCTGGCTGGAGCAAATAATTTGTTTCCCTGTCTCATTTCTTATGCTAATTTACTGTGTATTTTGGATAGGTCGTTTGAACTCTCTCTCAGTTCTCTAGACTCTCAGATGAGAACAAGAATTACATTCTCTCCTGCAAATGGCTGTTGCAAAGTACTTGTGATCTGAGAGGCTTGAGCAGGAATTGCTCTGCTAGAGAAGAATTGAAGCCAGAACCTCCAAAAAGAATAAAGTCAACTTCAAATAAAGAATAAAGTCATCCCCAAAATCTTCTGATTTTGGGGCAAACTGGAGACAAACACAAAGATGTTTTTCTAAGATCTCATATTAACAGTCAGTTAATGACCACTTCTGCAAAATTTCCAGCCACTAAGGGCACTACAGGGGGGACTGTAGGATTTTGGAGCAGGGGAAAGGGGAGGTGACTCTTGAGTTCTCTGATCAATTGTGCCTGACCATCTCTTCCTGCATGCAGAGAACAGTGAGATCTCCAAATTAATTGCATTCCTTCATCCTGTAGGGGTGGACAGAAAAGGGTGTTTGGTATTAAAATCAAACAGCTTCACTCTAGATGTGGAACATCTTGGAAGAACACCTTGAGAACGTGTGCAGGAGAGAGACAGGGAAGATCCAGAAGATCCCACCTTCTACTGCACTGCTGGTAAGCCTGTCTAGAAGGAGGCTACCCTAAAACCATGGCCAACCAATTCAATCTATATTATTTACTGTCCTGGAAACATAAAAATGCTGCCTGCAAGCCTAAAGCACAAATTAAACACAGAAGCTTGCTCATCAACACAGAGAAACTTTCTCTTCTTCTAAACCAGCATCCTTTAAGGAAAAGAATCCAAATGGAACTACAGAATCAGCTCTACTTTGGTCGTTAATGATCTGAACATCTATTTTTAGTGCACAGGTTTTTTCTGAAGCAGTCTGTTTTTCCATGATTCCAACACCCAGCAAAACACCCAGCTGTCACAGCCAAATTCTGCTTCCCAACTGCACACCTTTCTCGCCCCCAGCAAAACCCCCTACAAACGTTAATAAAAACTTAATACTGTGCTTTTCCAGCTTTTCACTTCAGTCCAGAGGCTATCAGCAACTCAGAAATCAACACCACCCTCTCCAACATCCCTTGCATGTGCAGCATGCAGTTCATTTGAAGGCTTGAGGTGCAGCAGAGAGTAACCTGTGCCAGGTTTGGAACCAAAATGGGACTTCCCAGCAGGGAAGATTTGCTGTCAAAGTTTTGCAGAACTTATTTATGGTTGTTTATGGTGGCCACAGATAAATCTGTACAAAGCACAACAGAAAAGCAGAAAGACGCTTTGATGTTACGGTCACACATGGATTTCAGCTGCGGCCACACTTGAAATTCTCTGCTCTGGACGACAAGATTTCCCAGAGGACTGTGTCTAATGGGATGCAAGGTGGGTTTTTACAGGTCGTGTCGCCAGCAGGGCTGCAGGCATGATTTCCTCTCCCATCCATAACAATACCAAGAATGACAAAGGCTTCGATAAAAAAGTCAAAAGGCTTTTAAAAAGAATTCTTCCTTTTCTAACTTGTGGGGGGCTCAGAGAGCTGCTCGTTGGCTGGAGGGGAGCCGGGCTCTCTGCACCCCCATCTCCCACGGCAGGATAACACCACGGCTCAGGGTGCGGAGATAGAGGCGGGGGGGTCCGGTGTTAAAACCCAAGGACGACGGAGAGGCTCCGGAACTCAGAGTCACCCCTGG